GAAGAGTATATCCATCTAGGCCATGAGCCGCCAGCTTCTCCAGGAGAATGCTATGGGAGACTGTGTCGAAGGCTTTGCTGAAGTCCAGGTATACCACATCCACAGCCTTTCCCTCATCTACCATGCGGGTCACCTGGTCGTAGAAGGAAATCAGGTTGGTTAGGCAAGACCTTCCCTTCATGAACCCATGCTGACTGGGCCTGATCCCCTGATTGTCCTCCATGTGCCTGGTGAGCACACTCAAGATGAACCTCTCCATAACCTTCCCCGGTACTGAGGTCAGGCTGACTCGTCTGTAGTTCCCCGGATCCTCCTTCCGGCCCTTCTTGAAGATAGGTGTCACATTTGCCAATCTCCAGTTATCTGGGACCTCCCCTGTTATCCAGGACTGCTGATAGATGATAGAGAGTGGCTTTTTTTTTTTCTTCACCTCCTCCTTCAGCACTCTTGGGTGGATCCCATCCGGTCCCATAGACTTGTGGATGTCCAGGTGGCATAGCAGGTCAAAGACTGCTTCCTCCTGGATTATGGGGGGTTTATGCCACTCACCATCCCCATCTTCCAGCTCGGGAGGCTGGGTACCCTGGGGATAACTCGTCAGGCCATTAAAGACTGAGGCAAAGAATGCATTGAGTATCTCTGCCTTGTCCTCGTCTTTAGTGGCAATGTTCCCCCTTGCATCCACTAGAGGATGGAGGTTCTCCCTGGTTCTCTTTTTTTTGTTAACATATTTATAAAAACTTTTCTTATTATCCCTTACAGCAGTGGCCAGGTTAAATTCCAGCTGGGCTTTTGCCTTTCTAATTTCCTCTCTGCATGACCTGACAAGATCCTTGTACTCTTCTTGGGTTGCCTGCCCCTTCTTCCACAGCTGGTAAGGCTCATTGTGCTGTATCAGGGAACTGCTGCTAGACAGCAATTAAGATTCTGTGACTTGTGTTCAGGTTGTGTGTTCTGTCTTGCCTCAAACTTTCAGTTCCAGCAGAAAGAGTGGTTCCAGCTTTCTGTTTTTATTGAGTGGGAAACATGCGCATCCTCCAAAGAGAAATAATGGAAGAATAGGACTGGTAGTGGGATGCTAAGCAGGCATCTTTACCCAGCAGTAAGACATTATTCAAGCATCACACTGAAAACAAAGAATCTCTCAACTTGTGTGGTGATAAGTAATTGGGTTTTTAGAAATACTGATTAAATCCTAATGTAATGAGATTTCACTGTGAACTCAGTACACAGGAGCTGAAATGTGTGACATTATATAGTACAACTGAGTAGCATCCATCAAGCTATCTGGCTTAAAAGATAGCACAGTAGATGAGTCAAATAAAAAGCTTTCAAGGTTATGAAATTTCCAAAGACAGTAGGAGTCTGAGCTTGCAAATGTTTGGGAGCATGAATGGGTTAGCTCATTTCTGTTTTTCTGGTGGGCAGTGGCAGAACTCTGAATAGCAGCATCTTAAACATCTGGTGTTGCTTTGGATCTAGATTTGCTTTCTGCAGCTTAAGTTCAAGTCAGTGGAACAGCTACAAACCAGTGTTATATTGCAAGATGTCTTCTGGCTTTTAAATATGGGCCATTAACGGAATACTCTGCTATATCGCTTACCTTGTGGCACGTCATTTGCTTAATTTTTT